CTCACACGCTGCTACAGGAATTGATTATTCAAAAATCAACGCTCCTGTATCATTGGGGTATCGATAAAGGCATATTGGTATTTTCATGTGTGAATGATTTGTGATTCAAGCGAGCAGTATTGCAAATAGAAAAAAAGAAAGGAAGAGGAGAAAGAGAAGGAGAGGAGGACGAGAATCATTGTCAATGAAACTATGTCAAAATACACCATTCATTCCAAACGCTCAAAAGTCAAAACTTAAGAAAGAAATATGATACGTCAAACGGCAATCATCGAGCTTGACTCGACAACTTACCCGTCGGACAAAGTTGCCGAAAGATACATACAAAACAGAGACAGTATTTAAGATTTCAACGTCAAGAGGCTGTGTTTTTTCCCAATTAATCGCACAATTTAGCATCCCTGTTTGGGGACAGACAGGTTATGATGCCCTTGTCTTGCGGTCTGGTACGGAGTAAACAGGGCAATCTAGTTGTGAAAAATTCCTTTTTCACGCACGACGCGTAAATGGACCAGTCGTCTCTTCCTCGCGACAAATTTGTACTACGAGGGCGGGGCGGGGTACGGGGGAAGCCGTGATTCCAATTCATAAGCAGAAAGAGAGAATAAATAGAGCGATGATTCACGTGGAAGTAAATATGGCCAAGAAGAGGGAAAACATACTGATCAGCAGTAAATGTGGAATACGCATCTATTTAGAGAGAGCATTTATGTGTCTGTGCCTCTCTCTGATCGATTTACCATTTTTGGGCTTCTCGGCTCTTAGGGCCCAACGTAAACAAATCTGACAGAGACTTTGTTTTTTCCAGGGAAATAATACTTGCAGAAATGGGTAAGTTCTTGGCAAAAATGACACCAAGGTTCCATTTGGTTTTTTTTAAATTTACTTATATAATATGTTTGCATTTTAAAAATCAGGGTCCTCCGTTTTTTCCGGGGAAATGATGCAGACAGAAATAATTTAATTTTTGGTAAAAATTACCACCAAAAGGTTGGATTTCGTTTTTTTTTTTTTTTTTTTTTGTATTTACTTATTTATTTTAAAAATATTCAAGTCTGGAGTATCTTGGTTGAATCTTTAGAACTCGGATAAGTGCAGAAAAAGTTTAAGAAAAAATTCAAGAATAGTCCAATATTTTCAAGAGAATATTTCCTTTTTTTCTAGATACTACTCGTAGTTCTTTAAAAATTACTAATTAAAAAAAAAGTGACGCGTGGTCGTTCGGAAAAAATCTGAGTTCCGAGAAATCAAAGAATCTTCCCACTTCTTTACATTGAGAATTTGAGTAGTGAAATTGCAAGCTTCCGAATTGTGACACAAAACCGAGGGCAATGGCTGTTTCTGGGTGCTTCTGGAAGAAAATACGACGAAACCAATGGATCTACTTTTAGAACCTCAAAATATCGTATAAACAAAGTTACATAGGCGTATAAAATTTCCAAATTTTGTCCGACTTCTTCCCATTGGCTCGATCCAATGTGCGGCGGCGGCGCCACGGTAATGTCCGACTCAGAATCAAATGTCCTGAATACTCGAGGCCTCATCGACACAAAATCAATGAATGTTGCGTCCCCAGTTAGTGAAGGCGACGATTCCACTCGTGCGACTGGTGTCTGTTATCGCGCGGCGGGACTGGCACAGGGCACGGGGTCAAGCGACCTGCTCAAAAATAAATAGGTCAAATCCCAGCCGCGTAATAAGACTCCCGCTACAAGGAATAAGTCACGCACGTGGCTAAAAATCATAAAGCTGAGTTGCCGAGCACCCGGAAAAAAAAAAAAAAACAAAGAGAACCTCGGTAGCTTCTCGTTGCGCGAGAGAAAATACTCATTGCTTCACGGAAACAACTTATTAGAGTTGCGTTAGGGTCTATCATTCGCAGCGAAGAGCGGAGTACTGCGAGTCCTCGCCTCGCGCCATCGCGCCTTCGATTTTGCAAACGCAACATGGACATCCATCGAGTACGAATAGTTGTATCTCTGCGCCGTAAGCAGTTGAGCAGTTCGCGTAAGTAGCGCTGTAAGCAGCCTTAGATGAGTAGAATAGACTGATCTAGTGGCTACGTCATGGTTCAAAATGTAAAAAAAAAAACAAAAAAAAACAAAAAAAAAACAAAAAAAAAACACAAAACCTTGCTTCTGATTTGCGTCATGATGGTAAAATGCGTACAAGTACTCCAAGTGTTTCTTACACTCGAAATTTGCTCGTGTCTAAGAAGTCCTTTGATTCATTACAGGTCGATGACTAAATTCTGATAAATTAACGAAATTGACTCATGTAGAATTTGTAAATGAGGGTATGTTAGTTTGTTTTGGTTTGAACCAAGATTATTTTCATCGAATGACGTCGTCATCCTAACCAGTCTATCAGTCTATTCAAGTCATGAAGACGGAGGTTTTTGGGTCGCAACGAGATGCTCTTGCCGTCGCAGCTAAAAAAAAAATGCCATTGCAACAAGAACTTTCCTTGTCCGAACTAAAATTCATATGCTTTGACGGGTCGCTAATTGCTGGAACAAAAACGAGAGGCATTATTCGGCAAGTCCGGTGCGTTTTTTTTTTTCTTAGCAACTACTGATGCTGGACAAAATTCGATTGTGCCGTTGATATGAATACCGTCGAATGGGATACTCTCGGCTTTTATTTGAGCTTTATTCGTATTTTTCTCAAAAGATTAGCTCAACGAGAAAACGATATTAATCGAGAAATCCTGTTTAACTGATCGACTTGGACTTGATACAATTTAATCTGGCATTTTGCGGGGAAACTCCGTAACGTATTCGAATATAGAAAAATTCAGTTAGTCGCAACAGAGCTTCTTCCTTTCAAAAGGAAACCCCTTCAACGGAATCCATTAAAAATCCGCGTGGGATTTTATTAAATCCATCATTTTATCTGCAAACTGCTTCGAAATATCCAAAAACTTCAAAGAAAATTGTATTTTTAAAACAAGTTTGCGAACGTCGGAAACCAAAGTAAGTGACACCGTAGCGTCACCATCGGTACATCCAACAATATAACTCACTACACGTGCAGATTCAGCAGACAGCTCTTCATTTGTAAAACATTACAGTTTCATTATCGCATTCCTTATATCTGTCCATCTATATCTTTCGACAAGCCATTGATCAAGTTTTAGTGACAGACTCGTTGAACTCAGTAGCACATCATACCATAGAGACAACGTGATGAAAACGCCTTCAATTCCACTGCATGCAACAAGTCGTGCAATCAAATGACAGGCGCACGCTTCCTCAATCCTCGCACGAGGCACACGACCATCATCGACAAGAAAGTTCAATGTCCTTGACTATAGATGTATTTCTGCCGAACGGAACTATGTGCATTATGATGTGAGCCCTTTTATGCATACATTCTTAAGGGCCTCAGGGCTCATTTCTTAATGCACATAGTTCCGTTTGGCAGAAATACGTAAGTAAACTTGAATGCATCCAAGGACGGACCGGAAGGTGAGATAATTTTCTAACTGCTGAGGCCAGGCTGCATTCCATCGTAAAAATTGATTATACTTCCGCTCTTTTGTATTGCGCGGGTCGAAATTTGAAGCTACAGATGTTCTGCCAGGCTGCAGTCGACAGCGGACAAAAATACGAACGCAAACGCGAAATGACAATTTTCTCGCTGCGAACGCTCCTATCTGGAGTATTCGCACTTCAAACTTTTCCGAAAATAGCGTGCAACGTTGCCACGTTTAGTCCATGAAATTGGATTAACTATACAATGTTCGAGCGGTGCAAGCTGTACAGATCACTGAAATGAAACGCGCCTCCTTTTGAAATTATCTGACTGGGTCAGAAATCATTTTTAAAACAAGTAAGGTATGTTTAAAATTGATCATGCTGATTTTTGTAAATCGAAAGAGAAAATTTAAATTGGCTCTACCATAAGATAAGTGGGCATTGTTGGCTTATAGATTGTGCTAATTTTATATGTTTTATTTTTTAGGCACAAAATGGGGCTGTTACAATTATAGGACTAAAACGTCCCAACTGAATGATCAAATGGCCTAGTGTTTTCCCTCTTTATGGAACCAATTAAGCACATGAAATACTTCTCGAAGGACAGAAAATACACTTCTGGAGATACGTTGTTAATAGTCTACGAAGCAAAATGTGTTTCAGAAAATTAAAATGTAGTAATGATGCTATCCATCATGATTAAACATCGCCCTCGCGATAAAATTTTAACAAATAGACATTAAAAATTATTTACTGTGAAATATCTCGAATACTCGCAATTTAGTGATATTAAACTGATTCCATCACATCTCATCTATGACTAGGATTTAGTGGCATTCCAGATGAAATCTTTTAGTTATTTTGCATACAATGGGCCTGTTGCATGCAAGAGATACAGCCGCGCGAATAGACTTTTTAGAGGTTAAATGACACGAAAATTACGATGGTCACATTAAAAAAGTCTGAAATACACTCCTTACTGCGCAATTTGCGTTGTTAGGAACGCGCTTTTTCAAATTTCCCGCGTCTGGGGGCAGTTTTCTAATCACCGGAAACGAGCAAACGGCGGGCTCGGTGATTTCCGGAAGATGCCGAGTCGTTGTTGTTGTTGTTGTTGTTATTTTTTCCATTAGCTTGTTTACAAACCCAACGTGATCTCCTATAGTGGTCCATATACGCTTTATGCGGTAACCAAATTGATCAACTTTTAAATATCCAACGCAATCCTTCTACATTTCATTTCACGATGTCACGAGCTCCGATTTTTAGGTTATGTTGTCAGTTTTAGTTGACCGGAGTTGCCGTTAATTGTTTCCGTTAGAAAACTGCCCCCAGACGCGGGAAATTTGAAAAAGCGCGTTCCTAACAACACAAATTGCGCAGTAAGGAGTGTATTTCAGACTTTTTTAATGTGACCATCGTAATTTTCGTGTCATTTAACCGCTAAAAAGTCTATTCGCACGGCTGTATCTCTTGCATGCAACAGGCCCATTTAGCAGGTTTAAATGAAGAAAACACTTACGGTTGGGAGAACTGGCTGGACTGCTTTTTTTGGTTGGCGCAAGGGTACTGCTCGTTGCTTCGACGGATTTTTTCGATGATCCTGTAACAAAAAGGGAAAAACTCGTCAGACAAAGGCATATAAAATTACTCATGAGACTTTCGAGTGTTCAAATGCATTATTTCCTCAAAATTCCATTTTTTGGGTTATTTGAAAAAAAACTACGGGCTATACAGACAAACTGTCCGTTCCGGGCTCAGAGGCCGAAAGTTCCGGGTGCTGGGGCCGTAGCTTCGATTGCCTAGGGTGCTA